GAGTGTGTGTGTGTGTGTGTGTGTGTGTGTGTGTGTGTGAACACTGGTGTTGAAATTCGCAATGCTCCTTGTTGATTCCAGGGTGCATCCGGGCTGAGAACCTAGGGGATTAAGGGTCTTCAGGCAGCTGGTCACTACCCCAGCCTGGTGGGGGCTGGGTGTGGGGCTGTTCTCACATGCCCAGGTGAGGTGGAGATGGAGACAGTTTGGGAGCTGGAGGCATTCTGGGTTTATAGCTTGTCTCCAGCTTACCATGGTTTGACTTAACAATTTTTTGTTTTAATTTTTATTTTTTACTTTATGATGGTGTGAAGCTGACAGGCATTCAGTAAAAGCCATATTTGAAATTTTGAACTTTGTTCTTTTCCTGGGCTGGCAATATGTGGTCTGATCTTTCCACACAGTGCCCACCTGCAGGCTACTGTCAGGGCTTTGAGCATGTTTTAGGCAGGTTCAACTGAGCTAGAGGGTTTTGTTGGTTAGGTGTATTAAATGCATTTTCAGTTTATAGTGTTTTCAATTTAGGATGGGCTTACCCGGATGTAGCCCCATCATAAGTCAAAGAGCATTCATGTGTGGCTGTGACAGTCACATGTGAAAATTGACACTGACTAAAATACATGTACAATTTTGCACTGAGGGGCATGGACCTGACCGAGGGCAGAGCTGAGGTAGAAGGAGCTGTCGGGGGCCCCAGGCTCACTCTGGCAGGCTTTACCTGGGCCTCCACCAGCCAGCGGGAGATGGAGGTCTTCCCATCGTAGCCTGGCCTGAACTGTAAGGTCACGGAGCGGGGGCCGATGTTGGAAATGCCCAGGTTGGTAGGGGCCCCCGGGAGTTCTGGAGGAGGAGAACAAGGCAGGAGAGATCAGGTGAGCAGGTCCCTCCACATGGAACAGGATTTTGGGGGCTGTCCTTGGAAAGGTCTCAGCAGAAGTGTGGCCAAGGCCTTATCTGCCAATGCTGACTGTACTACTGTATCTTACAGTGCACCATGTTCTCACCAGGAGGCCCACTGGGCACTGAGGGGGCCTCCCTGGCAGTTCTGGGTGCAAGCGAAATGCTCAGGAGGGAGATAGAAGCTGCACGAGTCCAAGCTGGGTTCAGGGAGAAGCCAAATGTTTCCACCTCCTTCTATCTGCGCACCCGTTACAGTCCTCCCACATCCCATAATGGCTGCAGGAGACCAGAAAGGTGTGGAGGGCATGACTGTCCAGGGGGTAGAATCCTGGGGCTCTTGGGGGTCAGGAAGAGCAGGAAGAGCACAACCTTGCAGTTGGATTCTGAGTCTGAATCCAACAGCACCACTTGCAGGCTGTGGGTCTTTATTTATATTTATTTTTTTGTGTGTGTGTCTTTAGACAGGTATGCTTCTCTGTGCCCCAGTAAAATGAAAATGATAATGGTATCCTCCAGTGTGGGGGTGCTCTGAGGATCTACTGAGTTGATGTCTGTAAAGCCCTTAGCTCCAGGCTGAGGAGCAGCACATAGGTTTCAGTATCACCTATTTCAGCGGGGATGGAAACGCAGGGATCTAAGCCAGCTCAGTGGGCAGGTCTAGGGGCTCTGGTCAGGTCCGAGCCTTACTGATCTGGACACTGCCACATGGCTATCTAGTCCAAACCCCAGGATACAGATGGGAAACTGAGGCGCAGAGGGTGACAGAAGCAGAGCTGAGACCAGAGCCCAACTTGTTTTTTCTGCAATGCCAAGCAACAGGCTGGAATCCAACTGCACTTTCTGGGTGACCTCAGGGAGGACTCTTGCTTGAATCATAGATGCCGTGGCCTGGCGGGAGGGTGGTGTTGGTGCAGGGGGGAAATAGGGCAGAGGAGACAAAGGTACAATCCTCCAGGGGCCTGTGGTGTGCTGAGACCCATGGGTTGGGGGAGGCAGCTGCAACCCCATGGAGCCTCCATTCAGAGACCTGGGTCACTGGACTCCGTCTGTTCTGGGGACCACAGGGAAGAGGGGAGCTCTACGGGAAGAAGGCCAGTGTTCCCACAGGGAGGGGTGTCTTCTAGATGGGGTCCTGCTCTGAAGGACCACAGAGGCCGCTAGCCCCGCCTGGAGGGAGCCTACCTGGAGGCACTCCTGAGGAGATGGTGGAGGCTGACACTTGGCCCTGGCCCTTGGAGGTCATGGCAGCCACCTCAATGGTGTAGGTGGTGAGCGCTGTGAGGCCAGTGACGCGGTACTCCAGGGTCACATTGGGCAGGTAGTGAGTCACACGGGTGTTGGTTCGGTTGTACTCCTCCCAGGAGATCCGGTACCCTGGAGAGAGCCCAGCGCATGAGCTTGGCCGGCACTGGCAGTTGCCTCAACCATTTTCCCACTTCTCCAGCTCCATAGTTCAGCCCACATGGGGCACAGGGAGCCCAGGGAGGTGAGAGCTGCCGGTACCTGGCCAGGCTCTCAGGGGAGGTGCTGAGGGTCCACCCTGGGGTAGGGATTGTAAGGAGAAGGGCAGACTTTGAGCCAGCCCCTTGAGGCCCCAAAGACCTTGAAGTCTTGAAGACCTGGATCCAGAGATACTGGGATGTGTACAACCCAAGGTACCAAGAGCCTCTTGAGTGGTTGCTCAGAAAGAACGAGCTGAACCAGGCCTGGTGGCACATGCCTGTAATCTCAGCACTGCAAGAGGCTGAGGCAGGGGGATCACAAGTTATCTTGGATAATTTAGAGGCTTAGTAAGACCCTATCTAAGAAAAAAAAAAATAGAAAGAGCTGGGGATGTAGTGAAGGCTGTGGGTTCTATCCTCAGTAATAACAACAACCACACACACACACAAATAACAGGAAGGAAAAGAAAAGAAAAGGAAGTGGATTGGCCGGCTGGGAGGGCCTGGAGGAAAGCCAGCCAGCTGAAGGCAGGGGGTGGACCGGCCAACCCTCCCCAGCCCCGCCCCCTTCAGGAGCACCTTGCTGCCTACCTGTGAGGATGCCATTCTTCTCTCCCGGCTCCTGCCAGCTGACCTTCAGCGAAGTGTCCAGGATGTCACTGAAGCTCAGGTGTCCCACAGGCCCTGGCACTGTTCCCAAAAGGGCCCCCCACACATCCAGAGCCAGTTAGGGCCAGAGTGCAAGACAGCCCTGGGTGACCCGGGGTGCCCCGGCGGGAGGGTGGGGCGAGGGAGCAGCTGGTGCCACCTACCGTCCTCATGGGTGCGCACTAGCTGGGGACTGCTGCGGGGCCCGTCCCCGGGGGTGGTGAAGCAGAGCACCGAGGTGAAGTACTCGGTGAACTTCTTCAGGCCTGACACGAAGCCCACATGGATGCTGTCTTGGAAGTTGGGTCGGGCAGTCACCATGGTAACCTCCTCTTCCTGCTCAGGTTCCCAAGCGATCAGCTGAGGAGAGGCCAGCAAGAAGGTTCCAGAAGAGGCCACGCTATCACCCATGGGCTAGGCCAAGCAGCAATATCCAGAAGCCAGGGCCCAGTGGTCCCAGGGACAGGAGAGGCAGCAGAGGAGCCCACAGATATGGGACTGTGGACCCTGCTGACACCTGCTCTGACGTGCTCCTCTGTTCTTGAGCCTCTGACTCCAGGATATGGTGAATGTGGGTGAATCCTCCAAGGGTCGGTCATCCCCCATGAGGAGGCATTTATCAGGACAGACTTCATTATCTGCAGGCCCAGTGTAAAGGTAAAACCAAGGGGCTCCTTGTTCAAAAATTATTTGAAGATGACAGCAGTAGAGAATTTAACCGAAGGTAAGGCTTTTCAAGTGCAGAGCCCTGGGCGTTGCACAATTGCACACGCACAAAGCCAGCCCTTTACTTTACAGATGAAGAAACAGGCTCGGAGAGGTCGAGTGCCTTGCACTATGTCATACAGCTGGGGGAAGCTGAAAGTCTGGGATTCCGATCCTCCTCGGCTCTTATACCTTTCTCCCTGTGAGCTGGGGTGTGCCCTTCCAGGAGTTTTCCAAGGGTCATTTCCCATAGAGCCAGGAACTTTAATTTGTGGATAACTCTTGTCCCTTTATACATCCTCCAAGTAAGGATTTCAGTTTCAGACATCACTTAGAGGTGAGGGGTCAATGAGACACACCCACCTGGAAACCTACCACTTTCTCTCTGAGCTCCCCTCTGCCCACTTCTCCCACTAGTTCCCAAGCCGGCTGCCTCCTTCCGCATCCTTTCCTAACCTTCCTCCCCTCCCTCCTCCTCCCCTCCCCCAGCCCTCCCTCCTCCTTCCCTTCCCCGCCCATCCCCTCCCCCTCCTTTGCCCGCTCTCCCCACCCCTCTTCCTGCTCCTCCTCCTCCTCTGGGCTCCTGCTCTCACTTCCTGCTCTGGTCTTCTGAGCCCTTCCTCTGTCTCCAATAATGACAGCTGGTTTCAGAGATTCCCCCATTTATTTGAAGTTGATTAAATAGCAATTAATGGTGGAAAGCTACACTTGATGAGTTTTAATAAGCATGAGTATTTATAGATATAAAACAATACCATGCCAATGTCTCCCGATTAACTCATGCCTATAACAATGCTTAATCTCCTTTTCAGGGCCGTGTGTTTATAAAGGATGTTTTGAAATTTAATTGGTTTTGTGAAAAGATAGCCTATAGCAAGTTAATTAGACACTAATTAGACCCTAAAAATACTAATCAGAAATACTAAGTGGCATTTAATAAGTATGTTAAATATCCTCTTTATTTTAGTTATCTTGTTTTATAGCAATTAAGTAGCTGAACTTCTTTGGAGTAGATGAAGAAACAAGCTTAATGTTTCAATTTAATTTAATTAATGTAAATTTGAATTAATTACGCTGTTGGAATTAATTGTATGGTGTGTTCTCTGGCAAGTGTAAAATTTGGGTAAATATTATTTTATTGGACTTACAACAACTACAATTTCTATCATTTAAAAAAATAAAAGAAAAAATGTCTTTATTGGTTCTTTAAAACTATTATTGGGCCCTGCACAGAAATATGACCCAAGGAAGTACACAGGATAATGGAAGTATAGTTTTAGGGACTAGCAATATTGACTTAATGGTCTTATGGTTACACCTCTGATGCTCCAGGGGGCAGTAGGAGTGTGGCCTCCTGTGACAGCTTCAGGATACTGACTCTGGGGTAACAAAGTGGAACTGTAGGAAAATAAAGTGCTCTAAGTTCCTGAGACAAGCAGCTCCCCTTACAGATTGAAGACCTGGTCAGGTGGAACCTTGTAACGGAGGGCAGTGCTGCTGGTGGGGCATATGAGGGTGGGACACAGGATGTACAGTAAGTGTGGAGAGGAAGAAGGTTGATCCTGCATTGGAGCAGCTGAACTGGAGCCGAGCTCTGTCACTGTGTGACACTGAGAAATTCCCTTGTTCTCTCTGAGCCCCAGGAGAGTAGAGGGGAGAATACATCCACCCAGCACTGCTCAGAATCCATATATATCTATCTTGTTAGGTCTAGGAGTTGAGAGAGTAAGATGATGTACAGGGTTTCTAGCTACTTAAGAAACAAGAGTAGGGAGAAATCTGTCTCTCCCTCTCTCTCTTGGCATTCACATAAATTTACATCCAACATGGTGGATGGCTATGTAAAACACCAGTAGGTAATAGTGGGTACTTAAGAGTGGAGAGCTTTGGGGTTGGGTGAAATAGAACCAGGCAGATGGAAGATTTGGATGGGATGGAAGCTTTTTGTTATAAGTTTATTTTTTGAATCATACAAATATATTTCCTGTTTAAAAAAGTAAAAAATCTGATATACCAAATGGGAACTATTTTCCAAGGTAAAATGATATGCGCATTTATCTTTTGATCTAGCAATCTTGTTTTCAGGAGTCTATTTCAAGGCTCTACTTTAAAAGAAGAAACAGATGCATGCTCAAAGCCAGTCACTGCTGGTTATAGTAAAGACTGAGAACAAAAATGTCATCACTGGGGTACAGGTGATCAAAATACATGATGAAGTGTGCATGGATGCAAATAACCAAAGGAGCTCTTCATATACTGTATACCTATGGAGTGACTTTCAGGATATATTACAGATGATAATAATAATAATACAATGCAAGATG